TCACTGTTTTATATATATGTTTGATTACATACAGCCTTGTGACAGTTTTCCTGCATGTCATAAGCATTTGAATATAAATTAAAATGTTAAAATCAAATCTGATACTGTTTTACCTTTTATTTGGTGTGTGGAAGGTGTGCGGAAGAGGGGTAGTCTTATACGGCGAGTATATAACAAACTCTGTATTTTGAGTGGAAATGTTAGGGGGTCGTCTTATACGCCCAGTCGTCTTATACGCCGGCAAATACGGTATATATATATATACACACATACACACTTTTTATTGTTGAAAACAGTATGTATGTTCCCCATTTTCTCCCCCTTTGCCCCTTTCCACCCAGTCTCTACCCTACCCCAGGGTCTTCACTACACTATTATCTGTGTCCATCGGCTATGCATATATGCATGTAAGTTCTTTGGTTTATCTCTTCCTGTATCCCACTCCCATCCCTCACCCCCAGCCCCCACCCCTCCAAGATTTGTCAGTCTGTTCTACGCCTTCATGTCTCTGGACCTATTTTTTCTAGCTTTTTATTATCCTGCCTCATTCTTCCTTTATGAGATTACTAGAGGCCTGGTGCATGAAATCATGCATGGGTGGGGTCCCTCGAGGTGGCCTGTGGGGATCGAGCCCTAGCTCATGCCCCCAGGCTTGCAGCCCCAGCTCGTGCCCCCAGCCTCACAGCCTTGCACCCTGCCTGGCACTTTGCCGTGGCCTGGCACCGCTCCCTCACCTGTTCCATCATCCCGACTGCAGGTTTATCGATTGGTTCGGGGCCTCCTGCCTGGCTCCACCACATCCTGGCAGCTGGGTGGTGGCCCCACCCCCAGCCGCCGCCACCCCTGGTTGCCATCTGTGGGGCAATCAGCAAGTCAGTTGGGCCACTGCTCGCACCCGCCCTGGCCTGGCGCTTCACAACAGCTCCTGCATTGAGCGTCTGCCCCTTGGTAGTCAGTGTGCGTCATAGCGACCATTCGAATGGACACTTATCATGTTTGCCTTTTATATATATAGATGGTTGTAATTTCAGCTTAGAAATATTTGTGTTTTACTTCTTTTCACTTTATTATATCCTTAGTATTTTTCCAAATTTCTTCAATCTTGATAAATGACCATAGCTGTCTACTAATTCCATTAAATGAATGTCCCCCAAAAGAGTAAAAGCATAACAATGTTTTATATAGTATTATCTATAATGATGAAAAAATTGACAATATAGTAAACATCAAATACTAGGGGGATGGTTTGATAGGTTATCAAATTTTAAATTAAAGGTGAAATGCTTAAGTGACAGATTAGATATAGGAGTTACAAAGAGAGAACACCAACCATAGATTTCTAGTGGAATCTTAACATTTTTGATTCTTTGATGGATTCAAATACTATGGTCATGTGTGTGTGTGTGTGTATATGTATATCTGACCTTTTAAACAGTATATATAGAATATATTAAAGAGCCTTAGACTTTTGTAAATACATGATTCCTAATTACATTGTAAAAGATTAATACGTTATTTATTCTTTTTGCATAGATATTTATTAAAATTCATCATCAGGATTTGAGGAGCTAATTCTTTTACCTTTGAATTTTATAAATGATGGTTTATTCTAGCAGCAAATTGCCCGACCATCGCAAGAAGAAAAAGTAGAAGAAAAAGAAGACGATAAAGCCGAAAAAACAGAAAAAAAAGAAGAGGAAAAAAAAGATGAAGAAGAAAAAGATGAAAAGGAGGACTCTAAGTAAGTTAAATAATTAGAATTAAATAATTAGTTAAATTTTATACTTATTTTTAAATAATGAAATTGTGTCTTTTGAAGGTATAAAACTTCAGATAAAAGAATTAATGTGATGTGTGCTTTAACTATTGAATAGTTATTTGATATAAATAAGGAGTGGAGTATTTCAGTAAATATAACTTTTGGCTTATTTGCCAGACATGGTATATATTACTTCAGAAGGAATAGGCTATAATAATATATACTTATCACTGAGATATATCAAATTTATTCTAATCTTTGATTTCAAAGATACCTCAGGATATTTTTATGTACCTCATTTGTATTATCATATAAAATAAGTTCCTGGTTTGTTTGTGGTTGTTGCTGTTTTTGAGGTTATAAAAGTAATTCTTGCTCATTATAGAAAATTAGAAAAGAGAGCAAAACATAAAGAAAATCAATCTGTGATTCTTCCACTCAGAGATTCTTGATTCCTTTGTGTACATATTGTGTCAGGGTGGTGTGGGGGGCTTAGCGGCTGGGTTGATTGTGTCTCCCCCAGGGGTCAGCGTTATTAAAGCATTATTTACATAGAATAAAATTCACCAATTTTAGGTGTAAATGTTAAGCATTTTGACAAGTGTGTGCATTGGGGTGACCATTGCCACAACCGTGATGTAGATAGAATGTTTTCTTTATTTTTGCGAGTCAGTTTTGTTATATTTATTATTTGCATATTAGATAGAACATTTCCATAACCCCACAAAGTTCCCATATGCTCCTTTGCAGAGTTTCTCTCCCCCCTTTTCTGGCATCTGGCAATTGCTAATCTATTTTGCTTTTTCTACAATTTTATATAAACTGGATTATGCAGTATAGAATCCATGTGTGACTTCTTTTACTTAGCATAATGCTTTTGAGGTCATACATAATGCATGTATCAGTAGTTTGTTCCTTTTTAATGTTTACTGTGTTATTTTTATAATCCTCTTGGAAATATTGAAGGTTTATCTAGTTTTGTGTCAACTAAAGCAGACTTAATCATTTGACATGGCTTTTAAAGGTTGGATACTCATGCCATTCTAATATTCTAGGAAGATACCCATTTAAAAAATAGGTATATTTTTTGCCCTGACCAGTTTGGCTCAGTGGCTAGAGCGTCGGCCTGTGGACTAAAGAGTCCCAAGTTCGATTCCGGTCAAGGGCATATACCTTGGTTGCAGGCACATCCCCAGTAGGGGGTGTGCAGGAGGCAGCTAATGGATGTTTCTAACTCTCTATCCCTCTCTTTTCCTCTCTGTAAAAAAGCAATAAAATATATTTTAAAAAATAAATAAAAAATATGTATATTTTTTCGTTGTTCACGTATAACATTTATATTCCCATGTGATCATTGGTTCTGCTCATATGGAACTACCATATCTTGATTTTACTTTTTTTTTTCTTAAAATCTCTAATTTGTTTAACAAACATTCATTTATTACTGATGTGACTAGGATATTATGGAGGATAAAAAAATACATAAGATATCTGCTACTCCCAGGTAGTTTATGAATTAGTTAGTAGGAGAAAATTAGGCAAGATACAAGTATGATTTTTAAAATTTATTTATTTTGTTTTTAAATGTTTTTATTGATTTCAGAGAGGGAGAGAGAGATAGAAACATCAGTGATGAGAATCATTGATTGGCTGCCTACTGCACACCCTCTACTGGGGATTGAGCCCACAACCAGGGCATGTGCCATTACCTGAATGGAACCATGACCTCCTGGTTCATAGGTCAAGACTGAACCACTGAACTATGCTGGCCCAGCTACAAGTACTATTTCATAAAAAAGAAAGAAAAGCCTGGAAGAAATGAACAAACCCAATAAATTTATGTTGAAAGATTGAGAAGAGGTTGAGGTTTACTAGTACACTGGAACCTCCGTTCTTGAATTTAATTTGTTCCGGACAACTGTTCAAGAAGTGATTTGTTCGAAAACTGAATCATTTTTCCTAATAGAAATAATGTAAATTGAATTAATTCGTTCCAGAACCCCAAATGAGTCCCTGTTTTAACCTTTCTTATATACAGTACAAGTCTAATGTACTGTTTAATCTATAAACAAACACTTCTTTTCTCAAATTTATCGAACCACCCCCTACTAGCCTTAAAGCAATCACTTTCAGCACTCATTGTAGGAGTGTCTTTCAGAGAGTCAGCAGTGCCATCTTCACTTTCTCTCATATCACTGCCTCTGAAATGCTGTCACTGGCTAACTCCTTTTCCTTTATCCAAATCAACAACAGTTTTTCTACCTCTTCAATTGCCTGTGATCATTGTTTCTTTCACAACCTTAGCAATATTAGCATTCTTGATGGCCTCTTTAAGTTTTAAAATTGTGCTAACCTCCCTTTGGCCAGCAGCAACAACAATAAAACACAAAAATATTAACAGCACAATTTCCTAAGATGTTAACAAGGAGAGGTTTAGCTGTAAACTGACTCATACTGGCGCATTCTATCCTTTGTTTGTATCAGTTGCAACAGAAGGAGTAATGTGACGAGAAGTAATAAAGGTTATTTGATTTTGCTGTTTTTAATTCATTGGCGACTTTTGACAAAACCTCTTTAATCAGAGGCTATAGTATAAAGCAGATTGGTAAGGGAATATAGAAGTGAAGGGGAGAGCGCTTCATGGTAATTTCAAGGGTAATTTATAACTGAAGGGGAAAGAATTATTCTTGAAACATTTGGGGGCAGGGCAGTGACTTGTTAAGCCACAATAGGTCTTTATTTGAAGTAGGTAAAATTAAAACAAACAACAACAAAAAACGCACCTTCCATTAACCATTTGTACACCATAAGTGTCTATAGATGCAAGCGGAGGACCTTTTTAAATTAAATTCAAAATATTGTGGCAGTTAACTGGTTAAGCAAGAATAGTTGAGTGTTTGAATAGTGCCATCTTTTTGTTCATTTGTAAAAATGTACATTAAGCACCTTACTTAAAAAAAATTTACTTTTCAGTTATAGTTGATGTATTATATGATATTTCAGGTGTACAACTCGGTGATTAGACATTTACACAATCTGTAAAGTGATATCCCTGATAAATCTAAGCACCTTGCTTTTAACTATAACAACCCTGGGAGATAAGAAAGACAGAGAATGGTTTTCCAGTATTACATGTAGTACTATTGCTATGGTAATGACCGCTTATTGTGTTTTTCCTAAGTGCCTGAGACTATGATAAGCCCTTTATAGCCTGAAGGAAGTTTAACTTTAATAGTAGGAAATACCTACGAAGTTTACTATGTTCCAGACACTGTTCTAAGCATTTTACAGAAATTAATTTCTGTAATTCTCACCATAGCCCTATGAAATATACTATTATTATCCTCATATTACAGATGAGAAACACTGAGCTCCATAGAGAGGTAAGGTTGCTTGTCCAAGGTCATCACAGGGCTAGTCATCACATAGGGCTCTGTGTGAACCCAGGCAGCCTGGGTCTAGAGGCCATTTTCCTGTTTGTACATAACTGTCCTTGAGGTGGTGAAGAATATGGAGCCTGCTTTAATAAAACAATATTGTAGACTGTTATGTCAGAAAGAGCATCTGTCATGGAGAGTGTCCTGAGGCTTCTTCATTTCACCAAGGGAGGAAACTTGTGTCGCAGCAAAGGCCAGGAATCCAGGACTCCCTCTCGGTGTCCCTGCCTCTGGGTTGCAGGTCCAGAGGGTGTTTCTGTGCTTCAGTACCTCCTCAGAGAGAGAGAGTTCTTGTATCTAAGTCAGGGGATTTGAAATGTGTTTACATTTTAAGTCCATTAACAAACCAAACAGGCCTTTGTGAAATATCTTAATTTGAATCAGTCAAAACTTCTCAAAATTGGGGCATGACAATATTTTATAAATTTTGTTTTAGTAACGAAGGGATTGGTTAGTTTTATTCAGTTTCTATTTAAAGATTTTTCAAAGCTGCCTTCTTTGACATATGTATACCTTAAATCACACAAACTTTTCATTCACTTTTGTTTCCAGAGAAAATACTAAGGAAAAGGACAAAACAGAAGGTATAGCAGAAGAAACTGAGGAGAGAGAGCAGGCCATACCCCGGGGACGAAAGACTGCCAATAGTCAGGGCCGCCGAAAGGGCCGGATCACCAGGTCCATGACAAATGAAGCCGCTGCTGCTAGTGCTGCAGCTGCAGCCGCCACCGAGGAGCCCCCTCCACCTCTGCCACCGCCGCCAGAACCCAGTGAGTGGGCAGATGGAGTGAACCGGCCACACTTTTGTTTGGGATTCTGTTTCAGTGCTAGGCTGGGGCAGCAGGGACCTCTGATATTGACAACCTAGAAATACTCTGCAAGTCTGGCTTTCACATTTTTCAAACTTCTTTGTAAAAGAACAACAGCCCCTATTTTGCTACCCTAATAGAGCTCTTTTTCTTTTTACTTACTTATAATCCTAATGTACATGCTACTTTGTTTTCTGATATTTTAACATGGCATATAGCATGAATATTTTCTAGTTTCTAAGCCATCTTCAATTTTACTCTGATGACTGCCAAATATTGGCATTGTGCCCAGAGGCACAGTTTCCTGACCCATACCCTATTATTATCTCTACCCTCCTTTTAAGCCAATATAACACTGTAATTAAAAAAAATTCATATACCATTTTCTTTCTGTTAAATTATTTTCTATAGGAATAAATTCTGAATATTGAGTCCAAGGGTTCAAAGCATTTGTCTTTGTTGCTAAGTATTGTCTCATTAGTTTATAAAGGATTATGTTAATGTCGAGTACCACCATTGATGGTTCCGTGGTACCAATTTCACTGTAAGATTAAGTATGAAAGTTCTAGGAATGGCAAGAATAATGTGAGAGAAATATGTAGACAAGCGGATGGGGGCAGATCACAAAGGGCCTTGTTTGAACTATATGCTTTGTTGCTTACAAAGGTTTTAAATAGAGGAGTGCTTTGATTAGATTGGAGTTCAGATATCTCTAGTGACAGTTGTGGAGATCAGATTAGAGAGAAGGAGGGCTGGAGGAAGAGGGACCAGCTAGAAGGGCAACTTTATGCATGCAGTGGCCCAGGCAAGGAGAGGTGGATTCAGGGTATTAGAATTGACACATATCATTGGATGTGAGTGGTAAATGGGAGGAAGGATTCAAAATGACTTGTCTGAGGATCCTGTTACTAATTTGAGTGACTGGGTGGATGGTAGTATATACTATTGAGAAGGGGAATACAGCAGGTGCTCATTTCAGGCCTGATAGTCTCAATTTTCTTTCTAAAGTAAAAGAGAAAGTGTTCAGTTCGTGATCCATCCATGTTTACTAGATGTCAGACATGGAGGATGAACATAAGCGCCTCCAAGAGAGGAAGAGACAGGGGACTCAGAGAATGGGAGAGGACTGTGCCTGGACCAGCAGGTGGAGTGCTGTTTCTTCCTCTGACTCTTCATTAGGAAAGGATGGAGCTCTAATAATTGGGAAGGCACTGGGTGAAGTGGGACTCCTTAGAAAATAAATTAATGGTATTCAAACGTAGATATGGATGGAACTTTAAAAAACATTAAGAAAGATCACAGAGGTGTTGCATTTTCCCGTTTAGTTTGGTGGGGGTAGAGGCTGATGCCATCCTATTTCTTCAGTTTCTTTCACCAATTGTCAGAGAAATAGGTTACAAATTATGCAGTCTGTGCCATATAATATGTGAATGAAGGATTTGGGTTAATTTTTCTCTACCTTATTGGGTTTTCTCTCGTTATTTTAGTTTCTACAGAGCCTGTAGAAACCTCTCGATGGACAGAAGAAGAAATGGAAGTTGCTAAAAAAGGTAAATGATAGTTCAAATTCTTCAAGTTTTTTTGTTTTTGTTTGTAAGATTATTAATAACTAGTGGCCTGGTGCATGAATTCATGCACATCGAAAGGGAATTAATTAGAGGAAATATTTTAATATTGCTATTTGCCCTTTCTTTATAATAGAAGTGTCAGAGATGAAAGAAAACTAGTAAAATGTATATGAAAATATTGATTGCCTCCAAGAGGGAGACCCAGGCTTTCTTGCCGGGGCTCCACTATCAATCACCATGCAGAGGGAGGCCCTGCCCACCCACCACAGCGCCACCGACTGGGTAGCCTAGGCCTTCCTCTTTGGGGCGATCAGTCGTGTAGCCCTCCCACCCCCTGATCGATCGCTCCGCAGAGGATGGCTTGGGCCTTCCTCTGTGGGGGCAATCGTGGGGCGATGGCAGGGCCCCCCGACTGATCGCATCACACCCATCTTGGCTGACCTGGTGCCAGTGCGTGTCATAGCGTGGTCTTCCAACGGTCGTTCTGCTATTTGGTCGATTTGCATATTATGCTTTTATTATTAATGAGTGAGATAGAGCTAATTTTTTTAATCTAAGAAAAAAGTTCTTCCACAATGATAAATAGAATTTAGAAGTAAACTTACAAGTTGTTGTTGTTTTTTTACTGTGTGGTTGGTACCTTATAAGGCATGCCAAGTGTGCCTTGTTGAAGAGCCACTTTTAAGGGAATTAAGTTGCTCATTTTATTTAAAGAGCAAGTAGGCTATTTTCACTTTTTCAGAATAGTTGTGATTAATACTTTTAAAGTTGTTTTGGAAGGTATTTTCATGTAAAATTTTGGGTTATTTAAAAGTTGCATTGAATAGAATGATAAATAACTTCTTAGTGCTTATTTGGTAAGGCATTTGATTAAAAACTACTAAGAAATTACACTGTGATTCAGAGAAGAGTATGAACATTGTAGACAGACAAACAAAAGTTTGGATCCTGTCCTTGATCTTATTCTAGAACTTTATGGGTCTTGTATTTTTCCACTGTTGCTTATTCATCCACTGTTGCTTATTAATAAAAGCCTAATATGCTAAGTGTCCGGTTGTCCACTCAACCAACCAAAGTGTAATATGCTAATTGATACGCTAAGGCCACTCAACCACTTGCTATGACGCTCACTGACCACCAGGGGGCAGATGCTCTGACTGCTAGGTTAGCTTATTGCTGAGGTACGGCTGATCAGGACTTAGCAAGATGGGCCAGACATACCCTGGATCCCTCCTACAGTTCCTCCCCAGCTGGCCAAACCCCCGCATCCCTCCCCAGCCCCAATTGTGCACTGGTTGGGTCCCTTGGCCTGGCCTGCACCCTCTCGATCCAGGACCCCTCAGAGGATGTGGGAGAGCTGGCACTAGGCCTCTAGTGTAATATAAAATTTAAGATTTCTAATAGGATAAATAATTGGTTTATAAATAAATTGTTTTCAAATATAATAATTTTTGAGAGATTAACCGCCTTTTGGGGGAGTTAAGTATTTACTTTGTAATTCTAGAGAGAGGATATTGTAAACAGCTTGACTTTTAGTGATACATTTCAGACTTATTTTCTATATACCAGGTAATGAGTGATACATTTAAGTATCATATAAACCAAATTTACCAAAAATTGTTACAGCAGTTAGTGTTCTAACTTTTATTTGAAGTTTGCCATGATTAGAACATTTGTGATTTGTCATGATTACATGTTTACGTTTTAAAAGATTCACATTTATTCTCTGATAATCAAAATTTCATAGTGAAGTAAGTAGATATTAGCTATATCATAATCTTTTTCAGGTAGATAAACTAACATATGACTGTTTAGTCACCACTCTTTCTTTTTTTTTAATGTATTTTATTGATTTTTTATAGAGAGGAAGGGAAAGGGATAGAGAGTTAGAAACATTGATTAGAGAAAAACATTGATCAGCTGCCTCTGAACACCTCCTACTGGGGATGTGCCCGCAACCAAGGTACATGCCCTTGGCTGGAATCAAACCTGAGACCTTTCAGTCTGCAGTCCAACAGTCTATCCACTGAGCCAAACCGGTTAGGGCCAGTCACCACTCTTTTCATCTCTTATTCATATATCGGGTAAGATTTAGAAGTGATCTTCCAGTAATTATTAAGGAAGCTACTGGAATTAAACTTGAAAAACTGATGTTTTTCTATAAATTCTTAAATTTATACTGGAAATTTTTGCTTGGGTACACCTGTATTTAAAGCATATCTCTGGCTGGATAACTCTTATGTAAATATGCCTTTTCATACCCATATTCCTTTGACATGTGTATGTGTGCATATATGTATTATTTGATTAAAAAGTGTCAGATGGCATAGGTTTCTGTGATGCTTTGGGTTAAAACAGATTTTTTTCAAATGGTTAATTTTTCTTAGGACATTTCTTGATTGTGAATGGACTGAAGACATGCTGATGATTCATGGAGTCTTGTATGTGTGTATACATACATATACATACATACATACAGGATGGGGCAAAAGTAGGTTTTTAGCTGTGAATACATGAAACACAGAGTTTATTCTTGTATTATTAATTACTAGAGGCCCGGGTGCATGAATTTGTGCACTAGTGGGGTCCCTTGTCCTGGCCTGCGGGATCGGGCCGAAACCAGCTCTCTGACATCCCCCAAGATGTCCCGGAATGTGGGAGGGCACAGGCCAGGTCGAGGGATTCCACTGGTGCACTACCAGGGCTGGGAAGGGATGCAGGAAGTTGAACAGCCAGAGAGGGACCACGGGAGGGCTGCCGGGCATGTCCATTCTGCCTTGCTCAGTCCCAATCAGCCGGACCCCAGCAGCGAGCTAACCTACCAGTCAGAGCGTCTGCCCCCTGGTGGTCAGTGCATGTCATAGCAAGTGGTTTAGTGACCTTAGCATATCATTAGCATATTACTATTTGATTGGTTGAATGGCTGACCAGATGACAATACACTTAGCATATTAGATGTTGATTACATAGGATTTTATTATTTTCCATATGAACAAGTATAAACCTACTATTGCGCCTCCCTGTATATATATCGTTATGTTAATCATTTATATTTGATTGTATTATTAATTTTATATTGATACACTCTTT